TCTAGCTCTGCCAGAATCACCCTCTCCCTCTCCTCGGGCCCCTCTCCAGCCGGCAGGACAGAGGCGGAGGGGGCAATGGTGTCCATGCCAGTGGGCTCTGGGGCCGTGGGCGGGGCTGTCAGGAGCCCCATGTCCTTCCCAGTGGAGCGGGTCTGCTGTGACATGGTGGGGTCCGGCAGAGCACCTGCAGGGCAAGAAGAGAGCTTGTTGGGGTGAAGCTCAGGCTGTGAGGAGGGCCCGACTCTTCCTTTAATGAGAAGCGGTGTCCCCCAGGGTAGAACTTGCTGAGGCTACACTCAACTTTGGAAAATGAGTCAGGAAAGCCACCCTTTTGTGCTGCACATGCCTGGGTACAGCCCTCTTCCCGTGGCTCTGAAGCCTGCTTCCTGGGGGTGCACAGGGCTCCTCAGGGGCCTTACTGGCTTATCCCCAGCACATGTACCTCTCTGGCCCCCTCCCTGGTCCACCTGCCCTCCCCCACAAGGCCCAGGCTCCCAAGAAGAGGTTAGGCCCTGTGTCCTAACCCCCAGCTCCCAGGCCCCTGCCTAACCCACTTCTCCCATGGACGGCACCCTGCCCAGGTCCAGAGCGCCTCATCTGGGAGGCCTCCCTGACCACCTTCAGCTCAAGATCTCGCTCCCCCAGGAAAAGGGGAAATAGGAGAGATAAGGGAACATTCACTGAAGATCTGCACCCCAGCAGGCTCTGTGCTGCCTCATAGCTCTCAACTACCTTATCAAGTCAAGATATCATTTCCATTTTACAGATGAGGAATTTAAGACTTGGAGAAGTCAAACAGACTTCCCAAAGCTTGTCCACTGAGTTAAAGAGGAGAGCATGGGCCCAAGTCTGTCTGCAGCAGGCAGCCCGCAGGGCCTCCTGGAACCCACAGCATCCCCTCCTGGCAGTGCACACCCCATTTTCTTCCCTAGTGTTGCCCTCTGGGCCCAGTCAGGGGCTGCCTGACCACCTGCCTTGGGGCGGGGCCCTCATGCCAGCTCACCTGTGCCAGAGCCAGAGAAATTGTCAGAGTCATCCCCAGAGCCATCCTGATCTTCAGGGGGCACATTTGTGGCCACAATTTGCTGGAAAAGGATCAGGAAAGGGTATGAGTGGAGGCTTGGCAGGGGACCTACTACTCCAGTGTCCCAATCCTGGACAGGTGAGTAAGCTGCCCCCAGCCCCACACACACCGCACAGAAAAGAAGCACTCGTACGTGGCTCCAGGACCCCGGGCTCTGGGCAGCCCTTTGGTCGCCCACGCATCCACTCATGCTATGATGGCACCCAGCCTGTTTTCTCACCCACAGGAAGGACTAGGTCCAGGCCCCCCAGGGAAAGGAAGGCAGGTACCCATCAGGCTGAGGACAGATGAGGCTGATCTAAAAGGGGCTGCATCAAGGAGGCCCCACAAATGGGCTGTTGGACTGTGATGGGTGGGCCCTGTGTGCAAAGAGCACCCCAGGAATGCTGCCTGCCTGGCCCAGCTCCAAGAGGCCACAGGTGCCACAGTGCACACACATGGATGAGGGGTTCTGGGCGCATCACTAAACCCCTTATGGCCTCAGTCTCCCCATCTGTAAAACAGTGACAGTAGTATCTACATTCCAGGACTGTTGCAAAAATCAATGAGTTTATGCACATCAAGGACCTATCAGAGTCTGACATGCAGAAGTGCCCCGCCAACCACAGCAGCTGTCCTAACTCAGGGAAGGCTGCTCAGCATGGGGAAGAGGATTTGGGGGCCTGTCTGGGAAGAGTGGGGGGCAGACGTGGGTTTCAAGAACAGAGAGGCAGGAGGAAGTCAGCTTACTGGAAGTGGTGTGCAGACCTGTCAGTGAGCAGGCCTTGCCCAAGGCTGGGCTCCAGAGAACAGGCCGCCTCAGCCCAAGAGGCCTTGCAGGGCTGAGGCCCTTCACTCGAGCAGAGCAGAGCAGAGACAGACAAGACTCTTGGCCTCCTGAGGCTGCCTGGGGCAGAGCTGGACCTCCAGGCTCCACCCCCAGGGGCCGTGTCTTCAGACACAGGCAGAAACTAGGAGGCTAGAAATACCAGAGCTTCCTTTCAAAGTACAAAACCCAAACTGCACCTCTCACCACCCACAAGAGAAAGGTTTTGGCCCCAGAAGGGCCTGTCTGAGGTGTCGTGGCCCATCTACAACGAACAGTCATAGTCCCTGCCCACCACCCACAGTCCGGCACATCCTGTCTGTACTGTTGCCAAATGGTGCTTCAAATATCAGTCCTGCTTCACAGAGCTTCGAAGCGGCCCCTCGCCTCCCCAGAGCCTGCCCCCTTCAGTAACAAGAGTACTGCCCATCAGGCAGGCACAGAGTGGGTACCCCCCGACCAGGCCATGGGACACTGCTCCCAACAGGGCAGCTTGTGGGGGGCAAGCCTTCGAGGACCCCCACCCCCACTCACTGTGTCACCCATCACCTCTGCCCACCCTCACATCCTCTGAGACCCTGGAGCCGGGCACCTTTCCCAATGTACCAACTCCCCTTCCTTGGAGAGAAGGCTTGGTGGACATGGAACAGGGGGCCGGGATCTGGCCAGACCAGCCTCAGCTGCACCGTAATGAAGGTCCATGCTACCAGAAGCCAGGGCCATGGGGCCCAGGTCCTATTTCACAGATGAGGAAACTGAGGCTTACAGAGAACTCGACGGACTGGGGATCTGGCAGTCTTGGAGGCGAATACCAGCATGGTCAGCCTCTCTCGCCTAACCAGAGAGGCCCCAACAGGTGAGCAGTTTCCCAGGAACAGGCCTCCCTCCTGACTAGGTAAGACTTGAAATCTGCCTACTCCCTAAAACCAATTTGTTCCTGCAACTCTGCCTGGCTTATCCCTCTGCAATCTTGTTTATACAACAAGTTCTTAAGCAAACGTTTTCTCCACAGAAACCAGCTCCCAGGCCTCAGGGCCACCTTCCCCTCTCAGAGCCAGTCTCCAGGAGGGGATGGGCTGCGGTGACCTCCCAAATGCCCTCCAGCTGGAACCTTCTGTGATAGCCTCAGCTCCCTGGGGTGGAAACTTGCAGAAACTGCTGAGCTGGGATCACCAGGTGCCAGCTGACTCTGGAGTTATGGGTGAAACTTCCGGTTTCATACAGCAGGCCTGCTGTGCTAAGAGCCTGTGGCCGGCCGCCTCCAAGGCAAGCCAACAGGTACCTGTAATGGGGCCCTGTAACCTCTGCAAGTCCCAGGGAAAATCAGCTCTTCATACAACGAATCCACACCCTTGTGGTCTAAACTGACACATTCAGTGTGCTCAAAGCAACAGCCAATTTGCTCCTTCCCCATGCTTAGCACAGACCCTTAGAAGCCTACTGGCCTGAGAGGCCAGGCTTGGCTCCAGTAGGGAGTGGGGCAGACACATGGCGGCCTGGGGACAGGGACCAGGAGAGGAACTATCAGCTCATCTCCATCTCAGCCACACTGCTCTCCTGGCCACAGCTTCTGGACTCAAGAAGTCCTACCAGCTCTTACCCGCACTGGCCACAAACAGGCCACCCTCCATAGCAACCTCCATTGGAGTGGACCTCTTGCCCTGGTAGGTCAGAGGGCCTGGGGCTGTAGTGCAGCATCCCCCCAAGACACCCTGGATAGGAAAGTTCCTTGGCAGGGTCAAGGTCAGGATACCAAGTGGGCATCTCAGAGAGGTTCAAGTGAGGATGGTGGACCCAGGGGCTTCTAACTCCAGGCTGACCAGAGAAGTTGCCCATCTGCCCACTCCCCCAACCTCTGCTTCCCCATTAACCATAGCCACCAGATCCAAAGACCTGTAGTTTCCAAACCATGCCCTGAACCACTAACACATGTCACCTGCTGCTGGACAAAACACAAATCCTGCAAAAAGCATCGCCAAGTTCACAGGATCATGTTGCTTTCAAACCAACACAGGCTAAAAGGACAGTGCCGTGTGGTGGTCACAGACTGACATTAAACAGGGTCCTCAACTTCAGAACTCAGAGGACCATCATCTGGGGCTTTGGGGAGAAGAGGGTGAGAAATGTTCTGGTTGCCCTGAAGCCCTCAGACCAACCCCCAAGAGGGTAAGACCCATGCTCACCCCCTTTCAGCAGTGCTGGGGGCCTCGGTGGTGTGGCAATCTCTGCAGCATGCAGCGGAAAAGAGAGGTGTAGGTATCTGTTGGCCATGACTGTCCCGCTGTGGGACAAAAGCCCTGGCTGCTGTGCTGGAAGCTTAGGTCCCTCAACCCAAAAGCCCTCGCAGTCACGGGGGAAGCGAGGGTAAAGAGCTGCCCCTTGCCAGGGCTGGGTCACAGCCGTTCCCGCACAGCCAAAGGTGGTGCTGATGATGGGAAGGGCCCCCAACTTGGTCCAGGAGCCCAGGCTGTGGGTCAAAAAGCAGGCGGCCCCTGTAGTCACACCTACAGGATAAATAAATACCAGTCACCCCCACCATCGAGAGCCCACTAGAGAGCAGGCATCCTCAAGGGGCTTAGAAGGGATTCACAGGCATTTTTTAAAGAAATTTTTACCCTCTCGGTTTCTTGATCAGATCTATGGATCTAAGGGAACTGGGCCAATTCCCCCACCCCCAGAAGTCCCGAGGGCTGAGGTCTCCAGGCTATAGACTACCAGCCTTTACCCACCACCTGTGCATCAAGATACCGAACTGGCCAAAGGTGACATCCAAACCATCGCCTGCATCCTGCCAGGGCCTTTCTTTTCGGGGGTCCCTGAGAATCACCTGGAGACTGTTAGAGATTCAGTGTACTGGGCTCCGACCCCGAGGCTGATTCAGTGGGTTTGGGGCAGAGGCCCAGATTCTGATGTTGAACAAGCTCCCAGCTCCACAGACTGCACTCAGAGAACAATTGTCTGAACAGGAAAAGGCCTCACCTGGACAGGCCTGGGGGCTGGCGACAAGGGGAGGCAAGAACCCCACATGGGTCCAGTGTTCAAAGAAGAGGCACCAAATAGCAACAGAGCCCCCATAAACAAGCCCAAGGAGTCCAGTGATCCAAGAAGGGTCTGAACATTCTCTGTGCACTTCTGATGTGTCCACTCTCGGCAGACAGTACACCCACCACAGTGCCTGCCCAGTCTGCAGGAGAGCCCTCACCATGGAGCTGGAGGACCCCAGAACTTTCAGAGGCAGCACCCCTCAAGTCCTAGCAAAGAAGAGCGAGACTCATCTATCCTGAAAAGCTGGGCTGAGCCTCTGTACCCCCTGCCTGGCTGAAGCCAGCAGGAGCAAGTGGGAGAGAATGGCTCTCCTCTCAGGGCAGGGAGTGGGGGGCACCCTGCCTGTGAAGCCAAGGGCCCAGGGAGGGAAACAGGGGCTACAGGACTTCTGTGCTGCCTTCCAGGGGAACCTACCTGCCCAGAGGGCAGAAGAGAAAGACAATGTTGCAGAACAACCAGCCCCACTCCTGTGGCCCACCAAACGCCCTATTGCCCTGCAACACTTTCCCTTGTCTGGGGGATCATTTGCACCCCCTCGGTTAGTCCTGGCTCACATGGCCTCGCAGGCCTGAGAGGCCAGGTAGATTAAACCTAAAGCACTTGGGATCAAGGATCTCAGGGAAAGGACCGAGCCAGGGGCTGTCAGCCGGAGGAGTCCTGACCAGGGTGGCCACCCCAGGGTGAGGTCCAGCTCTACTACACCCTTGCTGGGTGACCTGGACAGCTCTCTACCTCTCTCTGGGCCTGCTTCCCACCTGGTCAACAGAAGGGGCTTAGCTGAAGAATGCTAAACTCCCTTAGGGCTATGGTAGGCTGGGCTGGCACCTGGGAGCCATGGCCCCAATTCCTTATCAGTGAGGCTGGAGTGGATTGAGGGTGACAAGTTAGCCCCAGACAGCCATGCCAGGCAGGGGGAAGGAGCGGGACCACAGCCCCTGATCCAGGAAGACACTGGGCTCCCTCCTGCCCCAGGATATCATGCTGGAGGCAGAGAAATCACTGTCTCTCTGAGGGTTTCTTTCCTAACTTGGGAGCTGCCGGGGAAGCATGCTTAGGCCACTGAGGACAGACCTCCTGGGTTCTGACTCGAGACCCTGAGGTACCCCTCATCCAAGACACTCCCAGGAGGAAGGGGCGCCACCAGGGCCTGA